ACACAACTTTCTCTTACTGTTGCAAACGGGCTCTGTGTTGACAACTTCCACATCTTGTGTCTGTCGTTAAACATGAGGTTTGTTGAGTGGCAGCTTCAGACTGCCCTCAGTTGCTTGTTTAAGTGGACCACAGCAAACGGTTTTACCTTGTATTTTTCCAAACCGTATGCATACATGTTTTTCACCAGTGGGGCCTACATCTCAATTCCGAGATCTGTCTTGATGATGTTGTTCTTCTTTTGGTTCTGAGGCAAAGTTCTTGGGGCTTATCTTTTACCATAAGCTTACTTTCATCCCACACATAAAGCAGCTACTTGTCAAGTTTACAAGGGCACTGAACATCCTCCATGCCCTCTCTTCCACCTCTTGGGGTGGATCGATGTTCTGTGTTCAAGATCTATTGTGCCTTCATTCAATCCAAACTAGACTATGGGTTTCTGGTTCTGCCAGGACCTTAGCCTTCAAGGTGCTGGACTCCATTCACCATCTGGGGCTTCGACTCTTCGTGGGGGCCTTCTGCATTTCTCCAGTCCAGAGTTTGTACACAGAGTCCCACAAACCTCCTCTTCACCTCCACCATTCACAACTTTCTCTTCAGTGTATTACCAAGCTTCAATCCTCACCACAGCATCCCACCTGGGATTGTGTCTTTTTTTCTTCAGTGGGCCATGCTCTTTCAAAATAGATGGTCTGCAATTCCTTCTTTTGGCCTTCATATCCAGGCAGAACTCTATGAATTGGGTCTGGCATTAGAAGGCATTGCTGTCCCCAATGATCAGCCCATTCTACCATGGCTTATTAACTATCCCCAGATGTGACCTTTTCTTGAATCATCTGAGGAAGGCAGATACTCCCAATTGGAAGTATCATTTTCTATTTACTGAACGTCTTTCAAATCATCCTTCTATTCCCGTTTACACAGATGGTTTGAAATCAGGTGACTCTATAGGCTCTGCCATGGTTTGCTGTGGCTGAGTAGTTGCTCACAGGATTTCCTCTACTGTTTCTGTGTTTGTGCCTAGTTGCATGCCATTTACCTTGACCTAGATCATGTAGAAGCTCTGCAGTACACTGATTGTACTATTATGTTTTTTATTATTTTATTTTTTTGCATTTACTCATTATTGTTACAGTTATAAAAAGTGCACATTTTGTTGTGTTTTTAACAATATTTTCATAAACTTAGTTGCAAATATTGTTAACGTTTGTGTTTTTAAATATGTTAACATGTAATTAATTCAATTTACAATGACTCTCTTAGCTCTCTATTGGCCCTGGAATCGCTTAACATTGGTTCTCACCCTGTTTTCGTTAATATTCAACAACAGCTGCCCATTTTTCTCTATTTTCCATTAGTATCCAGTTTTTCTGGATTCCTGGCTATTTTGGTATTTGTGGGAATAAGCTCGTTGACATTGCAGTCAAGTCCGTCTGCTTGGGAGTTGACTTGGAATGAGCAATGTCATAGCAAGCTCTTCCAGAACAAACCTTCTTTGGCCATCTTGTTTCTGTGAGGGTCTGAAGGAGGAAGTTGTCCTGGCTAGGCTATGCATTAGTCACAGTTTTAACTCATCATTTTCTCTTATCTGGGAGTGATCCATCGATGTGTGGCCTTTGTGACACTCAAGTCACAATAGCCCACATTTTACAGATGTGCCATCATTATGACTCTGAATGATGGTACCATTTTCAACTTAAAATAAGACCCAAAACTCGAGCGCTTTCAAATAGTTGACTATTCTTCTTCAGGAAAACAAAGAATAGTCAACTATTTGAAACTGCTCGAGTTTTGGGTCTTATTTTAAGTTTATTGCACTTTATATGTGTTCCTTTGTGCTAACTCTTTTATCAAGGTACCATTTTAAACTCATTTTCTCAGGGTTTAGCCCTGACATTGCATGGTGTCATTGGCGATAGTGACATTGTCCAACTTCATTGCATCCAAAGCCTTTAAATGACAATTGGCAAAAAGGAAAATTATATATACATATTTTATTTTAAATTCTGACAAAGTACTATATTATTTTAATTAGCTGTGTTCATTATTAGGTATATCTTTGATCAGAAGTTAACAATAATCAGCTATGCTAATAGTACAATGATTAAGCAACCATCACAATGATGCAAAGACATTTCTCAATGAAACTGCTTGACAGCTTAGAAAGTAAGGGTTACATGCCCCTTTGGTTCTGTTGGTCTTGTGATCAATAAACTGTCTTAATTTTGTAATAGTCAACTGGTTATCACATGATATAGTGCATAAATACTTGATAGCTTTGAAAGGAGTGAACACAACTTCTTAGGAGGTTAGCAACTTGGCTGACCATTGAAACCATTACATGGCACCTTACCTGGTGTTATTTCACCTAACTCCCCTTGGACAAATAAGTACTACCAGCATCTTCCTCACTATCTAAGTGCTTGATAAAAACATTTGAGTCCAGCCATCTTCGTCAGTTAATTTGTTATAATGTTGCAAGAAACAATTCGGGTTTTCCTTACCTGTGCTCTTGAAAACTGTGGGAGAGATTTTCTTTACCTCATCTTTAGTGACCTGGGGCTATAAATACAAAGCTTCTCCAGGAGCATCTCAGAAACGTATGGTTGAGACACCCATGAATTCACAGGTATAGTGTTTTTCTGGTTCCTTGGGATTCCTGCTGCAGGATAGTATTATCAGCATGCTTCCTATGACAGAGAAGATCACCTCTGTACTACAAATCTCCCACTTCAATCTTCAGTGCTAGTATCTTTCTTGGTAGCAAGAAAGCTATGAGTGTCAGTCAGTCTACCAATTTCCTTCAGCTGGCCACAGGTGACAGTTGATAGGGCTGAGGTTGTGCTGCCATGATTGGCAACATACATGGTGTCATACAGGAATCAGTGTTGGGATTATAAGCTCACAAATCAGTGTGTTGACCCTTAATTATTTGTACTTTCTGTACACCTGTGTCTAACTTCAAGGATAGAATAGAATACTATATTCAGCAGCTGCAAGGGTGAACATTTGGAAAATTGTAGGTGAATAAGAAATTTTCACGTATACAAGCTGAAAGGAAAAGAAACTTATTATATCCTTTTATACTACAAACATATGGTAGTTTCAAGCATAAAGGCATGCTTCTTTTATCTGTATAGATAAGAGAATGTTATACCATAAATAACTATTTATACTAGTAAGTTAAAGAAGAACTGTCATGTTGAGTTGGATATGTGGCTGGTATTATCTTGTAATGATATGGGAATATGGTGTGTAGATTTTAAACTTCTTCTTTCACCATTATTGGTGTTTTATGTGATGGCCCTGGTTAAGGACTTACTCTACAATGCAATTTTTACTTCAAGAGGCTGTTTCAAAATACGCTAAAGCCAATGTTCTCGCCTATCTCTTTTCATCTTTCACAATGTCCATAAAGTTAATTATCTTACTTAAACAATGACTTCTGAGCTCCTACAATACACCAAATCAACGTGAAACATCTGTGAATGACATAGCACAAATTTATGGTTCTACTTGCATCTTTGGCTGAAATGGCATGTTGATTTGCATGAGTGGTTGGATGCTTTGTCTTATTGGCATCTATGTAGAGTTCACCTTGGTATTTTTCTTGACTTTCTTGATATTCACCTTATCATTATAGCTGTATGCTGCAAAAGCAATAAATATATTGGAAAATATTTTCACAACAGGTCATTTTGTAAATGTATCACTGGCAAGAGGATAGTAAATTCCCAGACTTTAGTGAACATTTAAATAGACATATGCTTAATCCCAGCACTATTTGTACAGCTTTTGACTGTAGGATTCGGTTCAGCTGTGTGGTTTGGGAAAAGTATGTTTAAGGATCTTTTATTGCTTTTGTATACCTATATCAATGTGAATTATCTTGTTTGCAAATTCAAAGATATTTCCTCGTTTAGGTGCAATGAACTGCATTGATCATGGGATGCATCTGTAGATAAGCTGTTTAATATTCTCTAGTACCTTCAACGATGTGATTGGTAGTTAGTCTTGGATTTTTTTTTTCCTACAGGAATCATGGTTTCCATTGCTATACACATCAGTTTTTTACTAAAGATATCCCATATCTTTGAAATGCTAAAGTATTGTGCTTTGTAATTTTGAATACTTTTATAATCTTAATTGTAGAGTAAGAGAACTTTGCATCCAAAATTCCTGTAATGTAACTTTATTGGAATGGGTCAACTTTAGATGTAATCTACATTTACAAATTATTGTAGGTCAAGTTACTTGCAATAAAAGGGACAGAGATTATAACATTAGTTACAGACCACAGTGAGGATCAGGAGCAATGTAGTTTGATATTCAGATTGCTACAATACTTCATGAACAATCTTCTCTTAATAGGGAAAAGTAAGTATTCTATTTCCATTGATATGTCACCTTGGGTTTACCTATTAATGAAGTACTCATAAAGTTTACTGATATTGATTGAATACCCAAACTTCAAGAAATGGTTATCTTAGTTTTTTTCTTCTATTTTTATTTCAAAGAAACAACCATTTTATATGCATATAAAATGAAACTCCATTTTATTTTAGTAATCCTTTTGAATATATACATTATATTTCACTAACTATTAGCTTGTTTCTATGTATTTTATCTATTCTGATTATTGTGAGAAACAACACTTTTAGTTGTATATATTATGTAGATTGTATATATCATTGTACATTGTTATATATATCTGATGATAGAATTTGTACATTTGTACACTGAATTAAATAGGTTACATTTGTTACTGTGATTCTCCTTTTTCTAGTTTGTTATGTAATAAGTAACATTTTTGTTGGTTTGTGTTACTAGTATATATTGTTTTTCCATTTCTGTTATATGTATAAAACAATATTTAATCTTGCTACATTCAAAAGTTATCAGATAAAGTTACATTATACTTTGGTGCCACGTAGTTTTGTATCTTGTTTGTTTGTTAAAAAATGCATAAAAGTTTATGAAATGAATGTTTTATATTTCACAGTATGTAAGTAAAAACCAAGGCAAACAGCAAGTTGTAGGAACAAAGCAGCAACTGAACTTCATTATGGAATCTCAAGACTTCCCTACCAGTCATGTAACTAATGCAGCTGTGTCTGCTGCTGCTACAAAAGCCAAGAGTGGTATCCACTTTGACCGTAGCTACTTACATACAATACCAGGAGTCCTCAAAAGTGCTCAAATTGTAGGTATCATAATTTACTGCAAAAATAATTAGAACAAATAATTAGAAAAAAGTTACATAAAATCATATACAGAAAGTCTTAAATTTTGTTGCATATATCCCATACAGAACTGTAAATGTAGTACTTACATCTTTGAACCAGAGTTGAAATTCTTGTGACAGGCCTCACAGTCAACTTTTTTAATCTGCACTTTTCTTCCCAATATTTGAATTAGTTAGTGAATGATGCATACATACACACACACATTATGCAAACATAAAATTAATAAAATTCACTGAAAAACTAACTTTCAAAAATGAAAAACACAAAGCTAATAAAACACAGAGTATATACGGTAGCACTTATACAGTATATGTACCATACAGGTTGAGCAAGCTGTGTTATATAATCAGTCAAACTGAGCCATTTCTTATATCTAAGACAACAGCAGTAGAGGAGCAGTCAGCAGAGACACCATCAATAACATAATCATTGCAACTTGGATTAACTGCAATTAGGATAGTCAGTGGATTGAAAAATCAGTGCGTGAAAGGAGGTGGCATTCCTTATTTTCCAAGCTGTCAAGTAGAATTATTGTTATAAAGTTAGGACAGTTGGTTGCAAAATCAACAGTTGAATGGTAATTTCAACCCATAATTTCCAAGCTATTGAGCAATAATTGAAGGCCAGACATCTTGTGATAATCACTTGATCTATCTAGATCAATAGTAAGGGAATTTCTTTGGAGCAGACAATGTGAAACTTACTAGATACACAGCTAGAACAATCAGCAGAGGTTGTTAGATAAAATACTAAGATTAACAGTTGGTTAAACTACTGATGATGACTGAAAATCCTGACAAACAAATATGTGTATGCTGAAAAGACTTTACAGTTCTTGGTGAACATTAGTTGGTATAAACTATGCTAGTAACTAGGAAACTTGCACTTACATTGACAAGACTTTGTATCATTATGCAATATCTAGTTGATATATACCAGTCTGTCTGGAACTTAATAAGGAAGCTGTGCTATAACAAAGACTGTACAAATCAGATGAAATGTATATAATTTTCCTTGATTTTTTATCTGAGTTATGTTTTAATCTTTAAAAGGTATAGATGGCAGTAGTGCCAGGATAAACGTTTTGATTCATGCTAATTGTTAGATTATGATGGTAAAAGTAATTTCGGTGTCATGCTTTGTGTGTTTGTGCATTAAGTTTCCAGTTGACAACATGAAATGTGATATGGATAGACGTTTATACTTATTACTATCAGTGATAACTTTTACTTTAGTGGTATCATTTGGGTTGTAATACATCTAACTATTTAAGTGGCATCTGGTGCTTAACATGTTTGGCACACAGGGAAAGCATGACTGATGCTGATGTCAGTTGCTGTTTGAACCAAGCCAGCTATTAAAAAATGATGTCATGTACTGTATATATGTCTTGATTAAATAAATATATATATGGATGCATGTGTGTGCATGTTTTCTGTTATATATTTGAACTGCTTTATGTATATTTAATTGTGTACACTTTTTCATTTGTATTATGAATTTTGGTGTAAAATGTTGAGATACAGTACACTTAGTGAAAACCACAGTGATTAGTTTGTATCACATTGAAATATAAAACAAGGCATGTTCTGTATTTGCTTAATGCAAGTAAAGAATACATAAATTAAGTAAAAGATGTGGAGTTAGTAGAGAATCATCACCATATTAACTGATTGTGAGCCCATTGTTTTTGCTGGTGTTCATGAAGAAATATTTTTATATTTTGAAAACTGGGGTATTTGTTGACTATGGGATGCAGTCTTTATAAAATGAAATCATTACATGATCACTTGTTTTGTTTTTTATTTAAAAAAATGTACCTACTGTTTTCAAATAGTTTTGATCTAATGATTCACACTACAAACCAAGGAAGTGATGAATAACATCATACTTATTGAACATTTCAGAATATATGTATTCCATCTTCATCTTAGATTTATTGATAACTAATAATAAGAAATGGTTGATAGGGTAGAGATTGGGGAATATCTGGTACAAGTGATCATTACTCAGTTAGGTTTTATGTTTTTTTGCATATGGAGATAAGGAATAATGAGATTTTGGCTCAAATTTCAAAAAAGTGATTTTGAAGAGAATGAGAAAAGAATTATCTGCTGTGAATTGGGCAACTGAATTAGTTGGAGATACTAATCAAATTTTATAACTAAATTCTTAAATATCCAAGTTGGATATTTTCCTTATGGGGAAAAAAGGGTGGCTGCAAGCAAAAACAGCCAGGTTTGCTCACAAAGTGTATAAACAATAAAATTAAAGAAAAGCATTATAAATATAAGATGCTTAAATTGACTTGAAATGATGGGAGATTTGGAGGAGTATAGAAGATCAAGAGAGTTGGTCAAATGGAAAATTAGGAAGTTATTTAAATATTTAAAAAATAGTTGGCTGAAAATGTAAAAATTAATAGAAAGGATTTCTTCAAATATATTAAGGGGAAGTCCCTAGGCCATATAATATTTACACAGTGGTTTTGAAAGAGGTTAAGGATTGGATATGTGAGCTACTTTCTACTATTTTTCTAAGTCTTTGAATAGTGGGCAAGTGTCAGAAGATTGGAAGTTGGCTAATATTACTCCTCTTTTCAAGGAATGTGATAAAAATTGTCCCAGTAGTTATAGGCCTGTTAGTCTTACATCAGTGATGAGAAAAGTTTTGAAAGTCTGATAAAACATGCTTTGCCAAGTCATTTAACAAAGTTTAAAATTTTGTCAGCAGGGTTTAACTAGGAGAAAATCTTGCTTTACTAATCTTTTGACTTCCTTTGAAGAGGAGACTGCTTATGAAGATGAGAGAATGGATGTGAGTGTGGTGTATCTGGATTTTCAGAAGGCATTTGATAAGGTGCCACATAAAAGGCTTGTTAAAATTATCTGTCGATATGTGTAGAATAGGTTGGCTAAATGATAAAAAAAACAGCTGAGACAAACTGAATTCATGCCATTAATAGAGTACCCCATGGCTCAGTATTAGGACCTTTGCTCTTTTTGATTTACATCAATAACTAGTTAGTCACTTATCTCTGCATATACTAACATGCAAATGATTATGCAGCAACCCTCTATCAATAGCGCCCTCTCTAATCTTGCAGCTGTTAACCACTTCTCGATTGTTAGTATTTTTTGTATAGATGTGTTTTTGCTCACAGTCTGATTCACTTATCCACAAGTTTTTACTTTTTTATTTGTTCTGCTTTAATTACACTGTTCTTAACTATTTTAATTTTCTTTTGTGAAGAGTTACGAATTATTTTATTAACCTTCTCTTTCAATTTTGTGAGTTATGCACTTGCAGTTTTAGGTGATTACAACTGCTGCAGCAGAATTACCCACCATGTCCAATGCGTCAGAACCACGATTTTCAGCGCATGAAGTGATGCTCTGATATGTTGAAAGTCGACCAATTTCATGCAACAATCAAAACGAAATGATGATTGTCCTATCACTGTTTTTAATGATTGGGAAGTATTGGATTTGGGCAGTCTTTTTCCCCCTCCTAAATGTGACTCTCAGTTGTGTGTTGTTTCAGGAGACTTCTCCAGACCTCTTACCCCTTTGGTGGATTTGATTATTCAGGTATATTATGTTCTGTTCTTAACTTCTGTTTCCTGTGTTCTGCCCCTGCCCTTCTCGGGGACTAGCTTATGGGTTATTATTTAGTGTTTCCTTCTTCTCTGGATATTGGGGTTCATGTGGGTCATTTTGAGTAACAGTTATGTAATGTGGACAATTATGCTTTTGATTATCATCATTCCAATTTCCTTTATTTTGATTCACGGCATTTGGTGTCACTTCTCCCTTAGTGTGGATCGGACCTGATAATTCAATTACCTTTTTTTCCATATCTGTCTATTCTGAATACCCTTCTAAGGTCAGGGCTGGTGGGGGCCAGACTTCTTCAGTTGGCCCACAGTTGAAGGTCATTGGTGGTCAATCAATGGGTTTTGACAGTTGTTTCAGTAAGTCTTGTCCTCTACTTCCATTCATCTTCACCATTTTCTTCCCTCCCATTTTTTTGCCTGCCTGATTCATTCCAAGATTTTTTTTCCACCATTCTATGGACGTATGGCTGCTTCTTGTCTCCTCACAAGATGACACAGTTCTACATCCTCAGTTTCTTCTCCAGGACACTGTCATGGTAGGTTGGCTTGTCACAGTGGACTAGTCTTTCTTCAAATCTTCACAATGTTTGGTTCATTTCAGGATGTTTTTTAATTCTCTTCTCCATTGATGTACCTACTCTTTTTCAGTTGCATGCTATGGATTGTTTCATATGCACCATCTCATCCTCTCCTTCTCTTACTGTGAAAGAAGTTCTCTCTATTTTGGGGATATGGGCTTTTCTCGAAGCCCTCATTCCTTGTGGTTGTGACCTCATGTATCATCGTCAGTAGACTTTGATAGACCAATGGAGCCTTGTTTCGGATCCCTTAGATACCCCTCTTTTCCTTCCCTTAGAGACTGACTTTGGCTGTTGGTTGTATCAGGGGGTGGATGTTTTTTGACACTCAGAAGGTTTCAAGACAATGGTCTCTTGCAAGTACTCTCTCCATATCAATATCTTGGAACTTCTTGCTGTTCATCAGGCTTTCTTTCATTTCCTGTGTCTCTTTGGGGCTGGATACTGATAGTCCACTGTTACATTTCTATGGTAGTCTCGTACATCACCAGGCAAGGGACACTCGATTGAGAGACATCTGTTTTCAAACATAGGATCTTCTGTGTTGGGCCCACTGCTGTCACATCACTTTGTTGGCAAGT